AGGCCCTGTGCATCTCAGTTTCCTCGTCTCTACAATGGGAATATTAATCCTTCCCAACCTCACAGGAGCGTTGTGAGGATCGACTCATTAATGCTTTCTTGGTATTCAGATACTACATGCCTCTGCATAAATAAATGTGCTTTCAAACCCAGAATTCAGGAGGGTGAGAGTCCTGACATTGAGAAGCCACCTGAGGCTGTAGAAAGGCTAGAGATACCCTGCTGAAGGCTGTGGTTTGACCTGTTCCAATCTCTCTTGTCACAGCAGGTCTGCCTGAGTCATTCTCCTAGACAGTTTATTTTATTTTTCTCCCAGAAATCCCGAGAATGCTGTTAGAAACATGAAGGGGGAAAACCCAAACCTCTGTTCCTTTAACCACTTCATCTAAGAGAATGCTGCTCTTCTGTGAAATCTGGGTCACTGTGGCACATGGAAAATGCATCCATTTAGCAATTCTATGTCTTTAACAGATCTGCTTTCATTACCTTTTAGTGAGACCAAGATTTATTCACTTCCCCGGGATTTTTTAAAGTTTTTTCCCTTATAACAGGGCTGCTCCTGCTTAGGCGAGATTAGGAGATCCTATTTTGTGGCTTCTCTTGGATTCCCTTTCTAAGGCTCTAATGAACTATGGATGAGTGGGCGCAGTAATCCACTTGGGGCAGGAGCTCGTTAAAGTCACTGATTCCATTGTCGTAACGAGCTACATATGGTCAGATTGCTTCTTTAAATCACTGATTACTGTAACATAGAAGGGCTTGATCGGGCACCCAGAGAGGTCAATGGGAGATTTGCTATTGACCTCAATGGGAGCCAGGCAGTGTTCTGCTTTCTCAAAATGGATTGCCGATAAGGAGCAATTTGAGCATTTCAGGCCAAAAAGTAACACAATTTCCTCTCAATTGCTGCCCAGTCTGTGAGGCACGCTGTCTGAGTGCCATGGGAACTGGTTCAGCACTGGCTGCTAAGAAATCATCCAATGAATTTAGCCCTTTAAAATACATATATATATAAAAGTAGGTGAATCGCTCACAAACTGATCCTGATTCCTGCGAACGTTTCTGTTGTTCACCGACATTTGCCAAGAAGCTCGTGCAAACCCATTTCAGCCTGTGGCACGTCCCCAAGCTGGTCGTGTCAACAGTCCGCTCTTCAGATCGGTCACACTGGCGGGAGTGCGGGTGCAAGACGGTGCCGGTTGCTGCCTGCATTTTAAGCTCCAGGTCACGCAGACCTGCTGTGAGCAGGGTCGGACGCCGTCGTGCTTAAAACCTTAGCCTCTGCCTGGAGCCCAGCCTGTGCTATTCTTTATTAATTGGGTAACAAATGGCACCCAGAGGCCCCAGCCAAGACTGTGACCCTATTGTGCAGGGTACTGTGTGTGCAGAGAATGAGAGTTAGTCCCTGCTCTGCAGAGCTTACGGGCTACACAGACAAAGTCTGGGAAGGGAAACTGAGGCACGGATAATTACAGTGATGGGCCCATGGTCATACCGTCGTGAGCGACAGAGCCAGAAATAGAAACCCCAGTCTCCTGAGTCTCATGCCATCTGTGCTAGGTCATACCACCGCTGCGAGACCGTTATACCTCTCCTGGACTAGCATTCCCACTGGTGGAGCTGACCCAGGGAGAGCAACAATGGGAAATTTGGGATCTTGTGCAAAGCCCTGATCCTGCACTGGAGTCAACAGGTC